CACTGTTAATTGTTTAAATACAGCGGTTTTTAACTGGTTATAAAACAGTCTAGATTTTATATGTATGCCTCTATATGACCTACCTAAGCACACCAGACCATCAGCAAGAAGACTATTTCTATGTAGTTATTCTTAATGCCTGCCACAGCCATATATAGGCATTATAATATGAATGCACAGTTATGTAAAGCAAGTTTTTGCACACCATTTTACTGCATATTGCATGTAGTGTATATATTTTTTATTATAGTCTGATATTTTCTATTATATATTATAATATTATTTTTTTGTGATTCTTTATTGTACTATTTCCACTACATTCCCCTGCTGCTGTGTCTAATTCAATTTCTCCTATGGGGGATCAATAAAGGAACATCTTATCTTATGTTTTATAGTGGTATATGGTACACCACATCCAGTTTCTATTATACTACCACTACAAACTAAACTGTATGTGGGCCTAACAATGGAGAAGTACAGGTCATTTCTACATGTATAATTATACCTCTGGAAAATGGCTCACATTCTAGTATGATAATTTGCTCCTTCTTCTTTGCTTGATGCAGAAAAGTAATGATAGTGAACTTGGTGAACTAAGTGTTCATCACAGACTCTTTTGATATTGTATCTGACACCACATGTAGTGCACCAGAGTTAGACTCTGTCCTTGTGTATGCAGACCAATATGTTTTCAGTTCTATAATAAAAATGACACTGCAGATACATCGGCCAATTATGTATTCAAGAATAACTTCACCTAGGTCTGAACACCTTTCCCCACAGGAACAAACATGCTTTTGAATTTGATTGACCTATTAGCTTCAATCTGCAACAGTGAATCAACCCTATTATTACTTAGTATTAATACAAATACTATTCTCTCTGAGACCTTGTGGGTGTTTAAATAGTATGGTAATCCATTCTACTCTTGTATTTTTTATTCTCCTGTCACAGGAAGCTCTGGTGGCATCTGTGAGAAGAGCAAACTGTACTCTGATGGGAAGAGAAAGTCTCTGAACACTGGCATCATCACTGTGCAGAACTATGCCTCCCATGTCCCTCCAAAGGTGTCACACATCACCTTCGCTCATGAGGTTGGGCACAACTTTGGCTCTCCTGTAAGTGCTCTGATTTAAAACATTGACCTTTGCCAGTACATTCCTTTCTCTTGCTTAGATGTACAATATATTATATTCAGCTCTCTCTCAAGTCTCTCTACCCACTGTCCATTACCTGGCCACTGTTTTACAGCATGACTCTGGAATTGAATGCACCCCTGGAGAGTCCAAATTGCAGGACAAAAAGGAGCGGGGTAACTACATCATGTACGCCAGAGCCACATCAGGGGACAAACTCAACAATAACAAGTTCTCCATCTGCAGCATCCGCAATATAAGCGCTGTTCTGACAAAAAAGAGAGACGATTGTTTTGTCGGTAAGTACTCTCTTATGAACATATCTGTTCCCGTCTATGTGTGTGAGAGAAAGTGATTGTCTCATCATGCTGTTGTGTCTGTGTGTTCAGAGTCTGGCCAGCCTATCTGTGGTAACGGACTAGTGGAAGAAGGAGAAGAGTGTGACTGCGGCTACAGCGATCAGTGTAAAGACGTCTGCTGCTATAGCGCCAATGAAGGGGAGGGAAAAAAGTGCAAACTCAAACCTGGCAAAATCTGCAGGTAAGATGTGATGAACATACCTTTGTACAGTCAATTTGTGAAAGTGTTATTTGAGCACACAACATTGCTGTCTATAGCATAGCATTTGTTTGACTTTTGATTGCATATTTGTAATTCTTATCCCTCAGTCCCAGCCAAGGCCCATGTTGCACAGCAGAGTGTGCTTTCAAGGGTCCAAATGACAAGTGCAGAGTGGAGTCCGAGTGTGCTCAGGAGGGCAAGTGCAATGGAGCTACTGCTCTGTGTCCTACCTCAGAACCAAAGCCAAACCACACCTCTTGCCATTCGGAAACGCAAGTCTGCCTCAATGGGGTATGTTGGTATTAGTTGCCCTCTTGCTGTTTTAAAGTCTGTTGTGTGCAGTTTTTGAACTTGTGTTTGTATTTAAAGTGAAAGGTTTTTTTTTATTTTTTCTGCTTGCCTTTTTAAATAAGGTATGTTCCGGTTCCATTTGCGAGAAGTACGGTCTGGAGGTATGCACCTGTGCCAGCGAAGAAGGCAAGGATGAGGCAGCTGAGCTGTGCCACGTGTGCTGCATGGAGAAAAGTGAGTGGCAGTTGGCTGTTAGTTTTACTTCCTGTTCTTAGTTGTGTCATCTTGAGGCTAAAGGACTGAGTAATTGTTTCAATGGTCACTCCTTCTCCTTCTGCCCTCAGTGAACCCCAGCACCTGCAGCAGCTCAGGCTCGGAAAAATGGGCCATGTTCTTCAACAAGAAGGTCACGACGCTGCAGCCCGGCTCACCCTGCAATGATTTTAAGGGCTACTGTGATGTGTTCATGAGGTGTCGTCTTGTGGATGCAGACGGGCCTCTGGCAAGGCTTAAAAAAGCCATCTTCAATGCAGAACTCTATGAGAATATTGCAGAGTGGATAGTGGTGAGTGTCCCAGTACAGGAAATGCTGCAACTCTCCCTCCAGTGGAGCCATCACTAAAGATCTGTCAACACAATGACACAAACGATATTCATATGTCCTTTAATATATCTTCTCTTATCCAGGCTCACTGGTGGGCAGTGCTGTTGATGGGCATCGCTCTTATTATGCTAATGGCTGGCTTCATCAAGATCTGCAGCGTCCACACCCCCAGCAGCAACCCAAAACTGCCCCCACCAAAGCCACTGCCAGGTACAGTACAACATATATCTTTATATTTACATGTACGTTCACATTTACCCACAGTATATCAAGAGATTTACATGTTGATTAGGGTTCAGCGAATACTCTGCTGAAATGAGTATCTGGTACAGATTAAGTACTTTTTACGAGTGTGAGGGTCATCAGAGTAGAATGTGTCCATATACATACACCAAGTTTCATAAAAAAAACATGTCAAATAGTTCTCTTAAAACATTGCTCTGTGGCTGTTCTGTACAGATATTGATGTACTTGCTCATCCCTAATGTTAATGCACTTTGTTATAAGATACTACGACTAAGAAGTGTTTAAGTGTGAATAATGACCTGTTGGCTAAGATAACATTTGTTAGAATAGTGAGGCAGGTGTTGTTACTGTGTCTTATCGGGAAAGCTGGAGATCTAGCTGCTAAAGCAATTTACGTGTTATTGCTATGTTTCTAATCTTTTGCTGTGGGCACCTTTCTGATGGTGCAGAAAAGCAGCAGCTTTTAGTGTTCATTATCCTTTGTTATGGCATTCACTGAGATGTCGATGTCCTGTAGGTACACTGAAAAGGAGAAGACAGCAGCAGCAGCAGCAGCAGGCAAACCCACAACAACAGGCCACGCGGTACCACCGTCAGCAAAGAGAGAACTATCAAATGGGACAGATGAGACGCTGAGACACTGGTCTGCTCTTTGCCTTGGTTCTTCCTAGTGCCTACAATGGGAGCACTTCACTCCAAAGAGTTACCTTTACCACATATTGCAAAATTCAAAGAACTTGCAACTGGATTGATTTCACTGGACAAAGCCTGAATGAGTTTTTTTTTTGGGCCTAACAAACTCGCCTCTGCTCTGAGAAATCAGATTAGCAGTGGTTCACACAGCTTTTATAGGAAATAAATAACTTTTCCAAGGAGGAGAAATTCACTGATCTCTGTTATGCGGTCTTAATCTCATTTTGTTTCTGTGAATGCTTTTTTTCTTTTTTTTTTTAGCAGAAAATGGAGGAGAGAGAAGAAGCTTTCACCTTCTTCTGTCCTCCATCTGTGCAACCTTTTTCCTTTCCTGTTCTTCCTCTCTGAAGTGCTGCCATCATCAGCACGATAGCAGCACTGCAAGTCACAGTTTTTTTGCTGCCAATCACAAACAGCATTGAGATGTGTTTTTTTGCCAATGTAATTAGATTGTTTTAAATCAAACTTCCATCAAAAATTGAAGCTTTTTATTTCTAAAGCGTACATGTTCTTTCAGTGTGCAGTTGTGCAGATGTTACAGTAGTTTTTTTTTTGTTTCAAATGAAATTGATTTTCTGTATGATAAAGATTATTTACTCTTTTAATTCACTTTCTCAGGATTAATAAAACAACCGCAAACATTGAGTGGAAAAGATGGCTGCCTGTGTATTTCAGGGTAAATCCCTCCTGGCTGAAGCCTCTACAGAAGGGTTCACGTTAGCTGCAGAGGACGGTTGTATGAAAAGAATGTAGATAAATGAGCTTAATAAGATTACGCTGTCAGACGGAGGGCTGTAGAGGGGAGATTGATTATCTGGATATGTATATTTCATGTTGTTATGTGGTTTTGCAGCTGCGTTTACATAAATGTATAGTCTGGGGCTGAAATGAATGGTGAGAGAATAGCTTTTTATCAACCTGATTGTATCACACTTTTATTCTGTCGTGGCTGTTTTACCCTGGCTCATTGCTTTGGCACTGATTTGTGACACATTTGTAAAACGACCATTTTGAGCTGCAGATGAGTGCGTTCTTACATTCAGAATGAGACATGTTGAAAGCATAAAGGAGAATGTGTTAAAACTCAACTCTGGGGACAAAGCATCCTACATATATAAGTCGTTACTACAGAAATGTGTCCTGGTGTTATTGTCCCACGTTTTCACCTTTTGAATTTCACACACTGGTAGTTGTTTAAGAAATCTGTTGAAACCACTCAAAAGCCGTTAGATCTTCTGGGCCTCTGTAGCCAGATGAGCGTTTCTGGTTTAAATGTGATTGTAAATTTAGCTTTTATTGATTTTACTTGCAGTTCAGATTATTTGTATATGTGGAGGAATTGAATCAATTGAGGGAAAACTAGAGCTTCTAATTTTATTGTTGCTTTGTTGCTGCTGTTAACAGACATTTACCAGAGCGAACAATCACTTTCCGCCATCCACCGCTGTTCTGTCCTTTTATTTTCCTACTGATTGTGATTTTCTCAAGGAACTTTGTTACCCTTGTTGCACCCTCTTGGTTTGTGTAATTGCATTAAAAACGTGCCTACTCAGAGCAGTGTGACTGAAGTTGGTGTGCTGTGTCAGTGATCTTCACCAAGGCTGAAACCATGCATGAGGTTGCAGTTTATCCAGACTGGACTGCTGAAATTAAGGAATTGTATTGGAAATGATGTTGTTTAGTGCTTGGCAGTGTATGATAATCATAGGAAATGTAAGTTTTTTTATATACAAATATATTGACCAACACATGAAAACTTTCATATTATAATCTAAATTTTTTTTCAGATTTCTGAGAGATTATAATTAGTACTATATTTACATTATATAATATAATAATATTGCCCAGCTCTAGTTTGTTTTATCTTTAGTTTTCAGTTGTCTCCAGCCAGATTAAACGTGGGTCAACAGGATGGATGAAAGTGCAGAATGAGAGTTGAGTTATATATATTTGTGTATGTGTATGTATGTGTATATATATATATATATATATATATATATATATATAGATATGTATAGTTTATTAAAATTACTTTAGGAGGGAACAGCTCGGTTGAGAAAGGAGGGACTGTCTTTTTCTTACCCTTGCAAAAGAGTTGTATCAAGCGCAGCTGCAGCTCAGCATTGTTTTTCTGTGCAAGGCGTGAGGATGTTGCGTTATCGAACTGACCGATTCTATGCAGAGTATCACAGCTCAACAGCGAACAAGTTAGCCTCTTCACAGAGAAATGCCTTCAATGTTCGCTCCTGTAAGGGTACATGGAAAATTCTATTGCGTTTTCATATAGTTGCTCATGTCGATGTGCTATGGCGAAATTTATGAACAGACAACAAAATGCAATCTTCTGTGGCTTCTTCTACTGATTATGTTTGTCTATTTGGTGCTACAGGTAGTGTTTTTTTTCTTGGGTCAGAGCTTAAAGTATATTTTTAATTATCTTTGGCAAATTTAAAAGCTTTTGTGTGTTTGTGAGACCTGCTTTGCTGAATCATCCTTATCTTTTTTTTTTTGTTGATATGGTAAGATGTGGACAATAGTGGGTGGTTGGGGTTAATAATACTCTCTGGGAATTTTTGTCTTTCTTTCACATGTGTTGCTATGATGAAAATGTGCACTGAAGTGTAATTGATGTAAACCGAGAATCCAAAATGGTATAGATTCAGTACTACTGTCTGATTTTAATGTGTCCTGTGTTTTATACAGTGTATTCAATGGTCTTTTTGTTTTTATTTACCCTTTTTGTTGTTTCCCATTCTGCTTACTTTGGAATTTTGACTAAATTTGCAAAGGCATTGTGCAAAAATATAATTTCTTTTGAACTACTTGAAATGCATTAATAAACCAGAATTGATCAAGTGTTTGTTTTCACTGTTTATACTACTTTATGCTATTATGTACAATTATTTTTTGTTATTACACCATAAAAGTTAGACATCCAGGGCAGTGATGATAGCTGCTTGAGAGCACAGAATTCAGCTGCCCTGATGGTCCGAAGTGAGCTAGTGTTCAATGTTTCCTCACAGCTCTCTCGGATTAAACCTGCTTTCAAGTTTACTGCCTTCCATTTAAACTATGTGCCCTCTGGAGCCAGCCCCTGCCTCTGTTTGAGGATTTCTGCCAGATTTCTGTGTTTACTGTTTGAGCTTTGCCCCTCAAGCTGACTACTGTCCGAGCAGTTGGACATTTTAGCTGCTTATTATTTTAATTGTACCATTTACTGTTTCCACACTGCACTAAATTACCAGTGTCGGCTTTCTTGTAGTATATTTTGGAATATTTTTTGATGAGTCTGCTCTCAATACCTGAGCAGTGAATGTAGAAAAGAAAACAGACCGCAAAACAGAGTAGAAAAGGACAGTGCATATTTATTGCTGGTTTGAGTCTGATTAACAGATCGTGTTATTTGGAGTAGTAAAGCAGGTTTTTTTAATGATGAGATTGATCATTTTATAGAGAACACCCAAAAAAGGAACATCCTTTGGAATTAACGTCATCAGAAGGTCACTGACATTGTGTTCACTGTCTGGTTAATATTTGAATTGGCAAACACTCAACTATACCCCGAAAGACATTTGTATGTAGACAGAAATGTAAATCTGGGCTGGTTCTTAAAACTACATTGTGTGATAATTGTCAGATAAAGTGTCTAGTATAAAGATCACATGCAATACTTAATACGTAATACTTAAACTAATAATTTGATCACAAAATCAAACTTAAACATATTTTTTTTAAATTGTAAACACAGTTTACAACAGTTGCTAGTTGTTTTTCTAGCCTCAGCTTCCCAGAATTCAATTCTCCACATTTTGTTCAGTGCGACATCTTTTAGATAATTAATGGATTCTAATTTACTCCCTGAATCTGCACGGTCTTACTTTGAGGAGTTTAGAGAATTTCATCCAGTTGTGAACTTGGAGGCCATCCATCAGAGATCTTCAACCTGAACAGATAAAGGAACCTATACAAGTCTATTGTGCTTTCTTCTCCGCTGTTTTGGTGTGTCTTCTTCACAGCGCACAAACACTTTATCCTGCGACACTTCAACTTGTTGACCATCATTTGTCATGGCACAAAAAGATGTCCTAGAAAACAGAAACAGTGTTGTTAACATGGTGTGTGAAAAGTGGAGTGTAGCAGAGAGCGGCCAGTTCATGTGTGTGGGAAACGATCCACTAGGTGGCATTAAAAGTCTGCGATATAAGGTTTTTTTGCTGTCAAGAGTGGGACACTGCAAAAGGTTACTGTATCTAAAAACAATTACATTTATTCTTTATTGAATGTGTTTATGTGTGTTTTATATAATTAGAAGGATGTATAACTTACAGTGCATGACATATGTGACAGCTACTCTACATGTGAAAATAATACTCAAATAGCAAGAATAATTTTGACACATCTGCTCATCTACTGTAATGAAGTGCAAAGTGAGGTGAGGTACTTCTAATATACTCAACTATTTCCATTTCATGGTACTCTATACTTCTGCTCCACTACATCTTGTAGTAGTAAAATAGTATTTTTTGCTATTTGATAGCGAGTTACTCTGCAGAGAGATTTTTCATACAAAAAGTATGATCAGCCTCTAAAGTATGATGCACATCTTAAACAACAATCTCTTCAATGTAGTTATTAACTACTAAAGGGAAAAAATAAATGATATAACTTATATTTGGTAGATGCCACTCTGATTAATCCAAATAATAACACTTTGGGGAATAAAGCATGGTATGTTGTAGAAGAGTTGTGTGATGTGTTTAATTTTGATAAACTGCTCACACTGGTCTGCACTTTGTTGTGTGTGTATTCTCAAAAAAGAAATTAATAGATTAAACAGTATATAACCAACATTATATACATTATTTTAAATTATTTTAAATTATATATGTGGCACTTTATATACTTACTTTATATACTTTTATAGTTTTATACTTACACCTTTTACCCTGTACAATTTTCAATGTGCTTTTTACTTATAATATAATGGAGTATTTTTAAAGTGAGATATTGCAACTTGAAGACCTTCTTCTACCACTGCTGCCTTGTAAAGTAAAGCGGTACCTTTCCTGCGTCTCGCCTGCTTTGACACTGATCTTGCCCACAGTCAGCAGTGGTTTTCGCTCCCGGCCGCCCCAGGGAATGATAGTCTGCACCCGGTTCCACATGTTCTTCCACAGAGCCGATCCCTCCCAGTGTAATTTGAGCAACATCAGATCCCCTAAGTCTCTGTCCAGGGTGATCAGGAAGGTGAAGGTTTTATTACCTGAAATAGTTTCAGGGCTGTTATATAAAGGAAGACACAAAAACAAGAGGGACAGAGTTAGATTATTACGGCAGGGAACATCCTGCAACAGGCTGTGACATTTCTTTATTACAAAGCAAAGACCCTCTGCTCTGCTGTGATGGTCTACAACTAAAGCAGGACAGCACATGAGATTTCCTCTAAGGCTCTTTGATACACAGAACATGAAGGATAACACAGTTGTCAGAGAATAGATGGTCTTGAGTAAATTATTTACTCCATCATCCCCATTTATAGTTCTCTTTCATGCAGCAGCTCGAGTTGTTTCCATGTGTGTCAGCTGCTCTCCTTAACATGCTTTCTTTCTTCATAGAGCTGAGAGCCCAGCTGCATACTGCATGTGTCAAAGAGTGAGTACACTGAGCACAGATGATGGGAGGTGGTACAGTACTCACACGGTGATGGGGAGGTCGCCACTCTCCTCCTTTGTTCCAGAGAGGGAGATGGTGAGAGAGGGCTCGATCCTCTCCATCTGGTTGACAAACTGGATCCTGAACTGGTAATGATAGACTGCAGAGAGGGAACCAGAAACAGAAGAAGAAGAAAGGAGATGAAGACAAAGAAGCCGTCAAACGCAGAGTTTGTTTTCTGTATATCTTTGGGTTTTGTCAATCTGATGTGTAGTGTGTTTGCAATACTATCAAAAGGCAACAATGTCACATCTTATCATATTATAAATCAAACAGAGTCACTTTAAATTCATAGACCTAATAACACTTTAAATACGTCTGTAAGTAAAAGTCCTGCATTCAATTTTAAGTATTAGCATCAAAATCTTCTTAAAGTACCAAAAATAAAAGCATTCATTATGCAGAATGGCTGAATTATAATTACTGATGCATTCATGTGTACATCACTTTAATGTTTGCAGCTGATAGAAGTGGAGCTCATTTCAATTACTTCATATACAGGTGGATAACTTGTGAACTTAATTATATTATTAGTATTATCTTATCTTGACCTACAATAATACATCATAATTTATTTTCTGATTATATTTTGTATTATCAACCTGGATCTGCAAAGGAACTGGTAAGTTAAGTTATTACATAAACGTAATAAAAGTAGAAGAACATTGTGGAAGAGTGGAAGGTAAAGTATTTCAAAACTGTAGTTAGATACAATACTTTAGTTTCCACCACTGCTGTTCCCTGGTCAGGTCTGTATTACTGAATATCTGATTATCTGCCTCAGTGTCTTCTTTTTTTGAAAGTACACATATTTTTAGTGGCTATATTGTTTTATATTTATCTTATTGTTTGTTAATCCCATAAAAAGACCAACGCCTACAATCTTACTCTGTTTGTAGTTAGCCTGCATCTTGAATTTCCCTCCCTATTTGTTCCTTTTAAAGCTGTAAATCTCATCACAAATATAAATGACTTTTTAGGCTCAGAATTTCCCTGAAGCAGCTGGTCACTGTAGTTTGTAGCAACATTACTCAAACAGGAGAAAATGACGCATTTGTTGGGAACTATTTTTCGTGGCGGATTAAGGTTTGGTGCTCTAGTTGGGAGTATTTATAGCAGCAGGACAGTATATGGACAGTATATGGACAGTATATGTAGGATGACTCAAACTTAACTAAACAGAACATGTCACACTGTGTAGTGACCATTCTGACCTTTTGCATCCATCTCAGCACTGTTAGTCTATAAATGACTATAATGAGTAATGCTATATAAATGTATCTTGAGGCTCTTTGGTTGAAATGATAAGGACAACCACATACGTTTGTACGGCATCCGAGACCGTGTTTTCAGGTAGAGCCTCTTGCTGGTGCCACTGCGAACCTTCTTGATATCGTAGCCCAGTGTGTTGCAGCGATTCTTCCGACAGTCCAGACAGACTCCTTTGTCAAAAGCACCTTTGTCGCTGCACCTGTAGGCCATGCTCTGCTTGTCTTTATTCAGCAGAGAGTCAATGAATAGATGGACAGACCGCTCATGAGCACATTTCACTGTCTGCTCGAAACCTATAGGAGGAAATAACAATGATAAGACCCTGTTTTTTAATCAATAGATCACTTCACACAACAAATTCTCCTGTGGATTCAGAGTCTGTAGATAACCTTAATCGTAGTGTCTGACCATTATTGGTGAATCGATATCATTATCACCAGATCCTGTCATCTATCAGACTGTCCTTCTGTCACATCTCCTAAAAGCGTCTCATTATGTCTGATAATGGTCTGCTCTGAAGGCCTTTTCTCTGAATAGACTCTTGTAGCCTGGAGGCAGCTCAGTTCAGAGGAATGGACAGAGCGGAGGAAGGCACATGTTGCTAATTAACTCCTGAGGATGACAGATGCTTTAATGTGGCTCTCACTGTCATATTATGTGGATGTGTTTGGATTGGGAAGCACCATAAATCCCAGAGCCACTTGTGTTAGACTGGAGGAAATTAAATACATCTGCCCGAACACAGAATGAGGAACTGTCAACAAGCAAAAGATGAATCGGTGCCCAAGATATTCCTTCTTAAACAGAGTTTTGAGGTGGCAAGACCAATTATGAAAAGAAAATACTATGATAGAGCAGAGGAAGAGGCAAACCAGTAAGCGGTTAAGCAGCAGAACACACTGCTCTGATTGGAGTTGTCATTTTCTCCTCAGATGCAGAGTTAGAAATTGCACACAGGGGTACCAGAAAGTAGAATGGCATATCTGTATGTCAGGGAAAAGACTGACTCCTTAAAATAACTCACAGAGCAGGCTGTAGTGGTCTTTGTTCTGGATTTGTTTAGGGCCATTTGTTTCAGAAGATATGTCGAAATGTTGAAATATCTAGGTTTAGTCTCATCACAATGTTTTTGTTGTTTTGTTTAAGGTGGCTTACAAAAATCATTGAAACCTACATGCTCTTCTCAAGACAATCTTCAAATGTTCCCCTCCTTTGTAGATGACTTTCTCTAAGGCCAGAACTGTAACGCTGGATAACAATAAAGATAAGTCAATCATGACATCTACTGGCAAGATTGCCAGGGAATGTTTGAGGATATTCATGGTTCTCGGAAATCGAACCCTGATGTTTTCTGTACCCAAGGACCTTTCTAATGCCACCATCAAATTGTCAGATTTGTACTTGATATATTGCACACAAAAAAATGGCTGACTTTTCATGACACACCCTGACCTCGTTATAGCACCACAAGGTAAAATTTACAGTTTTATGCAAGAAATATCAAAAGCTAATCAATGGAATATGAAATTCTTTGAGCATATTCATGGCCTCCCAAGGATAAGACTTTTCCTCAAGCCTCAACCTCAGGACAAATTTTACATATTTATCCTCAGTCCAGCACTTTAGTATTGTGTGGTGTAATAAACATTACAGTCTGTAGGAGCCACTTGCAAACTGTAGATTGTATGGTTCCCAGAGGACTATATCATATATTAAGTACATATATTTTGGTGTTGTAGTGTGTTCTTTATCGTACCGAGGAGCCCGTACTGGGCTATGTGCTCGTAAATGTTATGCAGATCACATCCTGGTTGGAAGTCTCCTCCATTGGGGTAAAAGTCATAATGTGCTACAGCTTGCTTGATGCCCACACTGAGGCCCATACGTTCATGGGTGAAGGTGTGGATGGCATCCACAAATTCAGCATCATCAGGAGACAGTCTGTCTGTGGGAGACATGCCTTCAAACAGTGGCCCCGCCGGGTCAAGACCTGGACAGATACAATATGCAATAAAGAACCGGTTGGCAGGATACAGAATAGACAAGTTCACTATTCAAACTATCCTTTTGCTAATTATATTTGTTTTGGCCAGTGACTGGAAGTATCACCCTAACCCAGTAGAAGAACTCACCAGTAATTCTTCCAATCTTCTCAGAACCATCCAGATAGCTTCCAGCAAATCCAGAGATGTGAGCGCCAAGGCTGTAGCCAATCAAATGAGCCTTTCTAACTGGGTACTGGTAGTGTACCTGTAGGGGTTTATGACAGGAACATAATTTAATAGGACAACTTAAATCTGGTGCATGCATGGTGTTGAGTAAAGACATTTCCCCTGACCTGAAGTGACTGCAGCAGGTGGGCTATGTCTTTTCCCACAGTGCGGGTGCTCTGTGCTGCTGTGGGGTAGTGCTGGTGAGCCAGGGACAGCCAATCAGTAATCACCACGTTGACGTCTTTTAGATTTGTCTTTAGGGTTGTAGCTAACCTGACCACCCAACTCTCCATCATGCCATCCACCTTAGGAAAAACAAGACTGATGTTAGAAATGTGTTTCTTATTGAAGTGCTGGCATGCTGCTATGCACAGTGTAACTCCTAATTATAATGTTCTCTTATCTAGGAAAGAATCAATGTACACTGGAACCAGTGATCCGATAAGAAGTTAAAATATTGATTAATATGAGTCTCTGCAGACATTTCAGAAAGTCTCTGGATGTTCGCTTCATGTTTTTTTGGTTTCATTATATTTCAAGGTTGTTAACATGATTTATATGTAACGTTTACATCTGAAACTGTGCCAGCAGCAAATCCTCCATATTGGTCTGAGTTCCATGTTTTGTATCCAGTGGCTCAAGTCAGTGAAGTGGAAGAAAAGTTGACCTTACCGACCACCCGTGAGTGATGATGATGAGGGGATTACTGCTGTTGAAGCCACAGGAGGTGAGAGTGTGCAGCTGCAGAGGGTCCAATGCGCAGTTGTCCTCACCTTCTGAAAACAGCCTGAAGACTGAATTGCTGACATGGTCCTTCAGGGCGCCCCTCTGCTCTCTGTCCACTACACCTTGGAAATCAAACAGCAGAACAGTTATCTGTTTGTTCTTCATGATTACTCAGCATGTCAGAACATGCTGTGGTACTGGATATGTTTACTTTGAGGTGAATAAATACAAATAACTTTATTTGTCCATTCAAGGGCAGAAGAAATGTTTTAATGTATGTATTGATACAACTGTCTATCTATGGAAGACCAAAAGATCCTAAGTCGTTATTATGAGAAACTTTCTTGAAATAATCACTCAGTATTTTAGAATAATGAGAAACTTTCTTAATATTTTGACTTACACCATCATAAAGTCGCGTGCACTAGCTTTCTGGTAGGCAAGCATTGTTTTGGAGCACTGATGTGGAACAAGCTGCTTGTATTGTGGTGTCAAGCAAAACTGAGATGTAAGCCTCATGAAGGTATCATGTATCATATGCATACCTCTTATCTGATAGCAATGACAGAAAGCTAGTGCATTATTCTGAGATGCTTTTTTAAAAAATTATTTTTCTATTTTTCATCACATTGGCGGAAATGGGCTTCAGTAATTATCTGAGAGTAAACAGGGAGAAATTCCTATTGAGGCCCATTTGGACTGGTTGACTAATGCCCTTTCAGAAGCACTTTGCTGTGTTTCCAGGTCATGTCAACCTCTTTGGCAGATGCACACAGATAACAGTCCCATCAAGTGAGTCTCTGCCAGACTCTTCTCGTAATTTCTTATATAAACTCCTCCTCCCTTAACATGCTTAAAACCACAGCCCAGAAACCTCAGAAATCTGACTCACAAACTTCATAGATCCTTCTCCAAAGAACTCTATCATTACATTTACTTTATGGTTTGTCATTGATTCATGTCCAGCATATTTATTATTCTAACATTTGAATGTTAATAAAGCTAGAAACCCAGGCGCCTCAACACTCAGTGATACAGTTGCCATCCGATGAGCTCTGGTTGCTGATATGATGAAAACATTACACAGTGAAAGTAATAAATGTAATTATATCTATCATCTATCATCCATGCCTCTGCTCATTAAATCCCACATTTTCCTTGGTGTGTCTCTTTACTGTTATGACTGTTTATCCATATGAACATGGAGAGCAATTAAAAACAGCCCGACTCATTAGTGTGTATCATTGGAGAGTAATTTACAAATCTTAGAGACTGTAATTAGTTTAATATGATTTCTGCAATAATGTTCAGATTGTTTTTATTGTGAGTTTTTTTTTAAACCACTCAAAGAAGGAGACAACGATTGATTATTTAAAAATTATTAAAACACAAAAACACACTATTCAGGAATTTAAGCAAAAAAACCTTTAAATAAAACTGCTTATGACAGCAATATTTCCTTTGTGTGCACAGATTTGAGAGCAGCTGTTTAGTTATTGTATCTGCCATGCTTTCAGCAGCAGCCACCATATTGTGTACTGGTGTAACAATTCATTCACCGTTCACAGTTCAATATAATAGTTAATTACATTTTCAATACAGAATACTGTATGTATGCTGTCCATTGCCATTTGAGTTGTTTGAAAGACTTTAAAAATTCTAAAATCAACATAAAGATAAAGTCTTACCTTTTCTCAAGAGTATAAGCAAAACAATCATACATGAACAAGATTTAAAGAAATCATGAGATATCATCTGAGTTTAACATCAGATTAACTGTTTGATACATGGAGTATTTTGAATCAGTAATATTCAAATGAACAATAAAAGAGATGGCCACTGGAGGCTTCATCTTTACAAACACGTGCTGTGCAGCTGAGCTTTGTTCAAACCCACAGAAGTCTATTTTAAATTCTAGAGGAGGAGAAGATCCTTAAGTTGCCAAAGATGCCTTTAGGGGAAATGTGTGTGTAAAATTATTCACAATACATGTTGGTTATTTCTGTGTGAGGAATTGGTTAAACCAAAAAACACTGATATCTTATTGTAAATACTTTACTCAGTATTATATAGTTTCAGATGAAGAATATGTGATTTTCATAGTATGTTTCTTGCCACTGTAAATTGTAAATTTATTTACATAAACTTCTGAGGAACAATCAAGTTAAAGGCCCAATTTTTAAAGTGCAGTTGGGTGCCCCCTGTTTGCAAACTCTCACCAGGAGCCTGATGTTGATTACATAATTTGTTGCTTCTAAAACATGATTAGACAATATGATTCAGCTGAGTTGGAGGTGTACAATTATGTTATTGTCTTCTATTTTTCATAGTTGTACTCTGATGGCGTCAGTCCAAGTGTTTTCAATCTACTAATCCAATTCTAAGACCACATATAAATATAACCAACCTGTCAACCAATCAGCTATATTCAGGCTTGTTTTTTCATTCATCTATCCATTAATAAAGACAGTTTAACCAATGCAATACATGTCCTTTATCACACTTTTCTGGGATTACTTAAGCATGACATTTCACTCACCTGCTCTGTTTCCCTTGATTTTCTTCGCCTCATTGAGGTGATACGTTAACAGCAAACAGCACAGGACTTTGACCACAGACATAATAATTCCTTTGAACCACCACTTCTCCCACAGATCAGGCTTAAAATCTTTAGTGGGGGAAATGCAAGTAATGTCGAGTCTGAAGGTGAGATCCTTTTGTCTGTGGGTGCAGAAGCTCTTTTATAGCCTCCTTACTGTCCTGGGAGCGAAACACATTGTACTGTACTGTACAGAGACAGAGGGGACACCAGGAGTAGTGCTTTATGGATAAGGGGGATTTGGTTCTATCCTGATTGGCTGAGGCCTGGGCCTTGTAGATCGAACGCATTGTGAAAGAGCAGAGGCATGAATAGGGAGGGGATCTGGTATGTGCTGACAGTGACTGAGAGGTAGAAATGACCTCAGACCCTTCATTTAGACAATTTCCATGTCACATCAACAGAAGCAAAAATGTCCTTTATGTAGTTTGTGCAGAACTATGACTACTACAGAAACTTTAGTGTGTGGGCAATTCAAGAAATCAAAGAAATAAATGATTAATTTCCCTTTATTGCTGCAATACATGTTTGAACAGTTGAAAAGAAGCATGTCATGTACCCACAGTCTGACAACAGATTGTGTCCACAGATCATCTTTTTTTATGTCAATAATCCAACAAACTCAATTATTTTCACAATAAATTCAACATGCTGTTTGAGGACATTCTTGATCAAATTTAATGCTACGTGTACTATCTGCTTTTCCCTGGACTGTTCTCAAGTGTGGGTTTGTCTGAAGTAAATGGTGTGTGTACACAAACAAGGTTAATGGTCATGAAATGGTCATGGAGACCCTCACATACTGATGAGTCTGGTTCTTTTTTTTTAACTCTTCAACATCACTGAATTGAAATGAAATCTTCAATATTCTGTCTTTCTAAATAAATATACTATCAATCAATATTTTTCATTTTATTACTTACAATAAAATGATAGGAGGGGTAACAGAAACACAACTACAAATAAATGCTAATGTAGCTGAATGTAGGTAAGTATTTCTCCCCAACTTGCTGTATCAAACTTTATTAGCCATTATGTTTTGGTTATTATGTGTTATTATGTTATTATGTTTTCTGTATTTCATAAAATCTCAATTTGAGGTCTGATCCGTCAATAGTTTCTGAGACTCTTTGGAAATTCAAATACAGTCACTGATTGCATGTGGTTCCATTATTTGATGCTGAACTATTATTATTATTATTAAATCAAGTCAGGCTGCACCACTGGATGATTATGTGTACTCAACGCAACTTCATTATTATTATTTCAGTAACGGAGACCATACCAATGAGGATAAGGAATTAGAATGGTTTATTGCACATAATTGATGAAGCTGAACCAATATGATAAACTGTAGGAGGGATGAAGGGATAGGGAAAGAGTTGCGGGATGAAGGTTGAGGGTCGAGGGTCATGGGATGAAGGGGTATGGGAAGGAAGGGTAAGGGATGAATGGATGGGGGAGAAAGCAGGTTTGTGGACAGATGGACGGATGGATGGATGGATGGATGGATGGATATGGGTGGATGGAGGAGGTTGGGCGAGATGACGGGAGGGAACCGGGTGGGTGTTGAGACTCTGAGTGGGGGAGCCGTCTCTTCTTATCTCTCATTTAAAGCCCCAGTGGTTCCTGTATTTGAATAATAAAGAGAGAGGAAAAAGAAAGGGTTGGGGGGGGGTTTATGGTTAAGGTGTGCTTAAGTACTTTTTGTGCAGAAATGAGATGAGGTGTGGTCTTTGTTCCCGAACCTAGTTGTACAACTTAATTTTATCCAGTGGCTTTAAATGCACATCATCATATCTAAACAGGCATATTCAGTATTGGAAGTATTTATATAACATATCAGTAGAGAACTGTGTGCCAAGTCTCAAATCAGGTCAGCATTCACACACATATAAACACACAGATACATAGTTCCTGTAGTTCAGGCTTCAGTGAGTGTCCTCTTCTGTCAGCTACGTTAAGACTGAACATTTCAAACTATTAACATGGATGTTTCAGTCCAGCAGCAAAATAGTTAAAGTCACAGTTTGTCTAATGTGTGATGCCATAACTGTAGGTGAACAGTTTGGAAGAGCAAACATGCTGAACCTTTGCTTTTCCAAGTATTGTGTGTATATGTGCGAGTATATGTGTGTGTGTGAGTGTGTTTGCATCCGTGTCTGGGCATGCTGAACAAATATACACAAATACTAGTTCAGTTTGTCCAATTCAGACAAAAAAATACAATACAACACAAAATAACTAAATCAGGTTCAGAATGAGAATGAACTGAGGCAGCCAAAGGGCAGAAAGTACCAACAAAAAACTGTAGAAATACTTTCATATGAGAAAAAAGCTCATGCACAAACGCCATTTTGGCCCATTATAATGTAAAGCTGTTGTACAAGTCAAAGAGAGGATACAGATAGATAGATAGATACTTTATTCATGGGGAAGAGCTCAGAAACCACTGAACCGCAAAAACACACTCCTTATCCATTCTCCATGAAGTTATATAATCCAGTTACAGTTGTCTTCTTTTAAATTTTGATGTAATTCTGCTGTACTCGCTACTCACGTTGATGATTGGTAGGTTTACTTGACTAAGATAATGACTAAAGAATATCTAATGAACGGACTTGGTCTATAACACTGTGTGTGTGTGTGTGTGTGTGTGTGTGTGTGTGTGTGTGTGTGTGTGCGAGAGAGCGAGAGAGAGACAGAGAGACAGAGAGAGAGACAGAGAGAGAGAGAGAGAGAGAGAGAGAGAGAGAGAGAGAGAGAGAGCACATTTTTAGATTTTTTATAGGGGAATAATGATGCGCTTCATGATATTTTTAACAAAATTTGAATGAAAAAAAAAGACATTTGATGATTTATTTGTCCTTAGGCATACATTTGTGTTTAATTTGCTTATTATCTTAGTTTTTATTTTCTTTCCAGACATCAGAGTAAAATGGAAAATGTGAAAAAAAAAACTGAATTGAATTTTCCCAGCAGAAATGTTTGATGTCACAGGTGTAACTAAAAGCATTAATGACGGCTCAGTGCTTGTTAAGCGTTCCAGTAAGTAATAACAGTGTGACAGTGAGCCAAGGTGCACACTACCATATAAACTGAAGCAGCTAAATGGAATTCAGCTATTATTAGTATTTGATCATCTGTGCTTTTCCTACTGTGACATGTCAAAATGTCTTCTGTGAAAATTGTTATTTTTCCTAATCGATTATAAAAACAAAGCCTGGCTGACAATAATTTCAGCAAAATAAAGATCAAGTCTGACAAACATCTTAGCTGGCAACAAAACATAATTATCTTTGCAGAAAGAGTGCATGGTAGCATACCTGGCAGAGTGTGTACCCCATGTAGTCTGAGTGGACCAGGTTCGATTTCAATCGAAAGTTATCCCCCCCTCTCTCTGTACCCCCTTTCCTGTCTATCTTCGACTGTCCTATCAAATAAATTTAAAAAAATATCTAAAAAGTTACATTTCAGGTCTTGTCCAATATGTCCATTTTATATCACAAGATGTAATGCCATCCTAATACTTTTATACCACTTGTCATTAAGACCAACACAACAAGTGTGAACAAATCATTTCAACGAACTTTATTCAATATTGAGATACATTGAATAGTGTAAAAGAAAAACTGTTGATTCAGACAGATAGTGCTTCAGAAAATGTTACTAAACTATCTTAGAAAAAGCAACTGAAAATAAGCAACAAACAACAAGACAAAAAGATTTGAATGTTACTTCCTGACAGGCTGCCACTCAGGACAGAAGCACTAGGCCACATGCAGGGGTTGAAATAACGGGGACACTAGTGTTTAACTGGTTCCGGTGAAAGAAGGACCAAATGATGCACTGAAAGTTTAATCCAGGACGTCACAGCAAAATCACTCTTTGATGTTTGTGCCACATTTTTTTGTTTCACAAAAGTAAAACAAAGAGATTAAAAACCCTGGTAATCTAGGTGATTGTCATGTCGCCAAACAAGTGTCCACAAGTGTACAATACTGTGCTATTGTAAAATGACATTCAGTGCAGTACAATATAATCTCACAATTATTATGTATGTAATATAATGCCTCTATGTTGTTTGACAGTGTTGTGTGCAGCATGTTACTTATAATATGACCCAGGCTGGGTCATATAATTCTAACACACAGCATGTTGGGTTTGTCTTTGCAAATTCTGTGCTCTCAGGATACAAGCATTATGCATCTCAAAAGCATTAATAAAGGATTGTCCAGTGTTTTATACCTTCATTTTACATTTCATTTTGCAAAAAAACTTTGTTGTCCAGTTTCCAGTGTTGAGCTCAAAACCAAAACAGCAGAAATGTGTGATTTATTTCACATTTTACCTCAGCTCTGAAGAGTTTTTAATGTAAACAGATACAGTCAGTGTTGTGCCCCCTGATACAGCATGGTCACTGACTCAATCACAATTCATCAAGGACTTCAGTGACATTTGCAAAGGTTTCTGCTTGAAACAAAAGAAATCTTTGTTTTGTGTGTGTGTTTGCAGAAAGCAGATGCTTACATGTTGAGTTATGGCTTTTAAATATCAAAGGTACCTGTAATGAGTATATCTGTAATCCAGCAATATAACACAAGCTTGTGTGTCACACAATTATGGATATGAGTGAAAAAGTAAGCAAAACCAGTATAATCATTTAAGGCTGGATTTCCTACATAAATATGTTATAAAGACTAGTAAGATAAAGCAATCAATCGCACATGCAAAGGAAGTGAAACAGAATAAGGAAGTCACTCCACAAAACACACATTACTGTAACACACTGGCTAAAAATAATATAAATTACTACATTTCCACATTAAGTCAACGGTTTCCTAAATGCTACATATATTTAATGCCCCTGTTTGTCAGGTAGATAGTAGTAAAATAAAAATGCTGTAAAGAAACTTGGCAAATATTTCTAACAAGAGAAGATGAATCCAGTTAGGATATAGGAAACTATAAAGAATACTGCATAGCTATAATTCAGAGGAAACTCCCCATGCAAGGTTATGATATCATTAAATTAAGCTTGATGTCTAAAGAGAATACATTTGTCAAGAAAGTTTAATATTTTGATATATGAACGAGCCCCTGGCAGATAAAACCTGAAACCTATAAATAGACCAGACTTTCTACAAAAAGAGACACGTAAAGGCTTCATAAAACACTCATGCATATTTCAAAATGACAATAAAATGC